GAACGAGAGACGCAATTCGAGGGTTATTTACCGAACAGAATCATCAGTCCAGAAGTTGAAATTGCTGGAAGTTAAATTGTTTCCTCGAGCAATTTCCAAGTAACGGTGAGTTTTGATCATTCGCAATTGCCGTTTGCGCTGGACACGTAAGTGCCACCGCGATAAAGACAACGGTGATCTCGTGCCAGTAATGAGTGGACAATTTCGCGGTGCACGCAGCAGAAATTAGCGTTGTGCAAGCAGCAATTGCCTGGGGAGACAGAATGGAGAACCGACAAACAGCCGTCATTGTTGGTTTTTGCTCGACGTTGCTCGATTTATTTTTATTTTTCTCTCCGCTTTTCCTGTAAAGAGCGGCAAACACGTAATTTCGCGTGCCTGCACGTTCGGTCCGCAGACGCTCGTAGTTCATATGACTTCGACGTTCCTGCAGGGGATAATTAACAATCTGACGTTTATTCATTTAATACGGTGACATTAATTGAAAAAATCCAACCGCGCTGCGGTTTTGATTGTCCGTTAACGAGGGGATGAATGGTTAGCCTGTCAGCGTGCACCGGTGGCAGAAATTTCCCGCGCGTGTTCAGCCAGCTTCGTGGATTTAAATGGATCCTTTTACGCGGACAGTTTTAACCACGGCTGATCCGCGCCGGACATCCGCGGTTTACCACCTATATCCATAGATGGCCGTGTTACGTAGTCGACCGTCTATGTTCCAGCGTTGTGAACAGCCCGGAATTTCGACGATCCCTTTGTTTTGAAACGAGCGATCGTCGTTGCAGTTTTCTTACCGCGAAAACATGGCACGAAATTCCATTCGAAAACCGATATTACCGGCCAGATACCGATGTATTTAGTCAGACGCGATCATTTATCTTCTTATCGAGACTGGAACGAGGAGAATTTAAATTATGCAAACGGACAGAACGATGAAATTTACTCAACGAAAGTAATTAGTAGAATTTGTTCAAATTTGTACGAATGTTAATTAACAGGTTTGCAGGCGAGTGGAAAATTAGAACGAAAGTTTCTTAAATATTGTAGTGACGGCTCGCCGTTGCCAAGGGTAACTGTAATTCCAATTACCAGTCGCGTCTATTTTTCTTATCTGAAATTTGAAAATCCGCGCAGTTCCGAAAGTTCATTTTTGCAGCCTTAACGCGTCCGGACGGAACAAGTAATTAGAATCGTGCCGAGCGGATCATAATTATCGGATCTCGCGAATGCATGCGATCGGAACGTGGCACGAAAGCAATATCGATTTCTTCGGGGTGTCTCGATTCTCGCGACAGTGATAGACCTGTGCGAACTAAATCGAAAGACGAAGATATTTTCTCGTATCCAGCTGGCCGATCGCCGACGTGACTGTCGTCTCTGTCATCGTGATTCGCAATTATCGAATCCAATTTGTCCGCCAGAAAGGTGAGGATCGCCGGAGAAAACGTAGGAAAAAAGAAGAGGGTGGACGCGATCGAAGATAGAGAAAATGACGAGGCGGACGACGTGGAAATGGATAGAGAAAGAGTTCGCCACCCCGGAATTATCTCTGGCGCACCTTGCACGGTAATTACTCGGTGTCCGATCGATATCATAAATTCGTTCGATCGGAGAACAACGTAGCCATCGTCCACTCGCGCTCGAAATTCGGCCGCCTCAGTTTCCAACGATTTGCGGTGGCAATTCGGTTGAAAATCATGAACCGAGTCTGTTCTCGATCGAAATCTTCGCGAACGGCGGAACGCTGCCACTTACATCGATCCAATCGATTCGAAGCCATGGAAACGCTTAATAATCGGTCGACGAGTAACTGGAGCACTAAAGGGCTGACTCGAAAAGGGCCGAGGGATGAGAATACGGTGGAAACGAGCAACTATCCGACGCGCAAGTTCTATCGTGGTTGTCTTGGCTAAACGGTGCCTCTTGCTGTTGCAAAGTTCCGCGACCAAGTGTCCGGTTCATGGTTGTTTAGGGTTGCGCCTCCACTTTAGGTCCCGTCTTCCATTCATGGAAAAGGGAAACATTACGCGCGGATGGAGCTGAAAGTGCTCGAGTTTAACGCGTTGTTGCACGTTCAGGAAATCGAAATTCGAAACGGGGTGGAACATCCCAATATTTCTTTTCAAACAATTACGTAACTATTGTTAACTGTTCACTCTGCCAACTCGTTATTCAATAAGGGGTACATTCTTAATTTCCTCTTTCATTATGCAATTTATGCAACACTTAATTAATATTTCCGTAACACAAAGAAATTCTTGATATTCGTTATTGTACCTTACATTCTTTAATTGCAAGTACATTCGTCTCGATGCAAATTCATCTTCTTCGTTGCATCGAGATTACAAAACGGAGCAACCGACGTCGAGGACCACGTTGAATCTCGTTTCATCAACATCGATGAATCTGTTACCGTTAATTAACGCGAGGTTCGATTGATCAAGTTCTTCAGCCGTCGACAGAGTACAGGATGCTAGTTCCTTCGATATAGCACCGAAACGAATTCGTCATGAATTTTATTTCAATTAATTACTGCTGCTTGCTATCACGCGCTGCTATCAACCGAGTATCGCATGCCTAACCGCCGTAATGCATTCATTGTCCGCGCAATCTGCCATTTAATCGGACTTAATCGCCACTTTGTGTTCCGCGTGACTGCTGTTGTTTATTAATTAATTCAACGTCGCTTAGGTGTCAACGAGACAATTGCCTTCAATGAACTCCGTCTCGTGGTTAAGCCGTTTCAACAACCGACGCTAATTGTTTCAGGAGAAAACCGAGAAAAAGGAACGACCTCGGGGTTTGCAGGAAAAGCGAATTTCATCTTTTCTACGTTGTTATGGAAAGTTCAATTTACAGACGGGAAATTTGAATTTTCCACCTGCTGCTTTGCCAACTTAATAGAATATTAATGCTACTTATAATGTTATTTCAAATGAATGCCGTAATGAATTTCGGCTCGGCTTGGTAACTTGTGGTTTCACTGCGGCAATCTATCCAAATCTACAAATTTTGGGGTTTTGAAGAAGTTTGTTAAGTGTCGATTCCAAGTCCTCAAATTCCGCAATTTTGCAAGTTTACAAATTTTTAAATTTACAAGCTTAAAAATTTTCCAATCTCTCAAACTGTCGATGCCTCAATTCATCACTTTCACAAATGTCTACGCATTCAAACCCTCTAGTGACCAAATCCTCAAATTTCCAAACTCCTAAGTTTCCAAATACTCAAATTTTCAAACCTTTAAATTTACAAACCCTCAAGTTTCCACATTCCCAAATTTCTGAATTTAACAAGCTTCCACATTCCCAAATTTCCAAACCCTCAAGTTTCCACATTCCCAAATTTCTGAATTTAACAAGCTTCCAAATTTCCAAACTTCCAAACTCTCAAGCTTCCACATTCCCAAATTTCCAAACTCTCAAGTTTCCACATTCCCAAATTTCTGAATTTAACAAGCTTCCAAATTCCCAAATTTCCAACCCCCCAAGTTTCCACATTCCCAAATTCCTCAATTTAACAAGCTTCCAAATCCCCAAAATCCCTAACCCCAAATTTCCAAACTTTGAAATTTTCACCCCTAATTTCCCACACCCCAAATTTCCACAGGTACAAATCCTGAAATTCCCAAGCCACTAAATTTTCCGCTATAAAAATCTTTTCTCCAGCTTGCGAAATTTCGTGTGTACACGAAGCCAGGACGACGGTATTTAACGTGTTAACGAATAACCGGTCGCCAACTAATTTCGACCATCGACGGGAACCAACGGGATTAATTACGAGCCCGCGATCTCAAGTTCGTCGTTCCCGGCATCGAATGAAATTTCTACCGAAAATACAGGACGGAATTATGAAGGGCCGCGGCTCAATTACCAAACCCGGACCGTCTGTCAACGTCCCGGTGTGTTTGTTCTCATCGTTCTCGTTCCGGGAGCGTTATTTCAAGCTGCGCCGTACCTCCGGGTAATAAGAGATACAATCGTAATATCCTGGACGTTGCGTTCCGTCTAAATTGTCCAGCCAGCTTATCCAGAATATTTACAGCCCCATCCTGATTACAAGCCGACCGTGTACTCGCGATACGGGACACGTGGAATATTTTCGTGGGTCCTCGGGAAATGTACCCCCCGGCCTAGTTCCCTAACAAATGATCGGCGGCTGTCAAATATAACCAGAAAAAAAGAGGGACCGAGAGGCCGCTTAACAGCCGGCCAGATAAAAATTGATGGCTCGTGTCAGGGCTATTATTGCGCGACGCGCCTAGGAACACATCATTAGAGGGGTTTGCATCAGGATTTTCTGCCCAAACAGAGACAGAATTTTCTACCCAAACGGAGACAGAATTTTCTGTACAATCTACGCCAAAATGTTAACATCCGTTTCCTTATGAAATCATCTTTCATTGTTCTCATAAAGAATAGACAAATGTCACGATGCAGAAAGAATGCGGTGATTTGATTATTCAATGTGTGTTACAAAGTATATCTGCCATAATTCAAAAATTTTTCTGGTAGAAATTAAGGATAGAGTCGGGCTATCATTTTACCAGGCGTGTAGTTTGGCCCGGCCATATATTCGTGCGTATCGTGCCTCTAGTCGGGGAATTACGAGAAAGATTGATCGTACCTATTTGCCGAAACCAAATTACACTTCTGTTCACCCACGCCCTCTATCTTAGGAAGCCATTTCGTAGCCGTGGCTAGTCTCCATTTATTTATCACCGTCCCAATAAATAATTAGCCTCCTTAATAACGTCCGGTCTGCATCGATGTATCGACGGTCGATAGATTATTGTTATTATTTATTTCCGGCGAGAATAAAAGGGATAACCGTATGATGCATGGCCGCGAAGGTACAGCGAACGGAACAACGGGATAGAGAGAACGGGAGATTGTTTTCTATGATGTACGGTTCGAAGCACTGCCTCGCCAGACGTAATGAAAATTTTTTTTCTTCCACGACGGAAGAAAGGGTGGAAAAGAAAGAAGGGTAAATGAAACACTTACGCTGAACGGCACCAGCGAGTTCTTCACGGACGGGACCATCCATTGTTGAAACAGCGACATGACCACTTGGCAGCCGACCACGACCTCCAGGATACGTTTAATCAAAAATCTGCAAGAAGAAATAAAACGTTTCTTAAGGGATGCTAAAGTAAATCTGTTTTTCATTCACAGATTCGTGAACTGGATTCGAGAACATAATTCTATTAACTTTCTAACCTCACATTTTAATTATTAAGTTCTTGTATATGACATCTTTATAAACTTGATATTCTTTGCACCTAAAGAGAGACTCACCGTATAGTTCAATAATTTAACGTAAATACTTTAACCAAATCTACAGTGTTACATATATAATGAATACACTGAAACACACATATGTAGTTACATATGTAGTGGCAATAACTATAAAACAATTCACCTAATTTTTCAACCAGATACTTTTAAAATAAAATACCGTCGAGTGCAAGAAGTTAACTCCTTGTGAAATACCATGAGCTGATAGAGCATGTACTTAAAAACGAGTACCATACTTTCGTAGCCAACAATAGTGGCAAGAAGCAACGGCTCTAAATGCACTTCCTGCTATAAGGTTTGTTAAAATACTTTGGTGCAGAGGGAAGAAAGTGTTCTATAAAAATCTCCAGGATTTCGGATACAATCGGAAATACCAGACGGAAGCACGGAAAGGAATACATCACCCTGTCCTCCCCCTCCGGAGTCCATCCAAACGTACCCTTCTCTATTTTCCCAACAATAGCCCACTTAAATCTAATTTCGCGAACACTCCGTTCGCCAACTTTGCCTTCTTCTCTCCGTTTTCCTTTCCAAAGGAAGTGTGTAGGATTGAAACCGAGCGAAAAAGAAGGCAAACTTTTGGTGAAGTGCTCGCGAACGGATACGAGCTGGTACCTATATAAACGTGCTCACCGGCGGGATTAGAATCGAAAGGAACTTTAGCGTAGAACACGAGTGTTTTCTAACTGATCTAATTACCAGCTCCGTTTCAGACGGTTACTTCGGTAACTGAAATTGATCGTTGCGACTATTCGGAAAATTATTTACGTCACGTTTTAAGTAACAGAAAGATAGAGTGTCGAAGAACTTATTGAGACTTATGTCGGTGATCTGTCGGATTTTTAATCGTGGGTTCCTGATAGTACCGATTATATTTAGAATTTATCAAGGATGACCTTGTTTATACGATAAAGAAGTTTGAGAATATTTTTGAATTTGTTGATTTCGGCTGAAATGTTCTGGCAACAATTTTCGTAGCTTCAATAAAAAGGAGAATATACGCTCGTAGCAAATTTCAGGTCAAACGTTGTACAATATACCTGCATTCTGAGAAGGAAATTTCAATCCACGATAAAAATTCTGAAATACAACTCAGAATATTCCTCGTCGCAAAGCGTTCTAATATTAGCTCCAAGAAAAGTTTCGTCCAGTTTTATACAGACACGCATAATGCATGCCCGTGAAAAATAGATGACGATGTATTCTTGCAAGAAAGCCGAGATCACGTTGAGCCTGTCGCGGGAAACAAGCAGATTAATCTTCCAGTCTCGTGTATTCAACAATCCTTCCTTCGCATAATTCTTCTTAAAAAATTAATTTCCATTCATTTCGCGAGTCACTCCGACGATCTCGTAATGTTCATATTTCACGGTTCAAATAATCTTACGATTTAAAACCTCAAACAATGAATTGAAAACCCCGAAGAAAAGAAAAATCTCCTCGCGTTCTCTTATTACTGTTTACCTTTTCCGAATCCTTTGTGTCCTAGGGAAATTCAGTTCGTAGCAGAGCGTAGGGGCCAGGATGTAGTAGTAAAGATCGCGGAGATTCAAGTTGTCCGGATATTGCACCAAGACGGTACCAGCTCCGTCTACCTCGTGCTTCGAGTCGTCGACCTCTGCGCCGTTCACGCTGGAAGCTGCAACAACGAATCGTATCCGCGTTAGACGTGGAAAAAACAAATTACAGCGATGAATCACACGCGGCTGGCAAGCAACAGGAATTTCACCGGCTCCTCCTCTCGTCTCCCGGCCAAGTTTCTCCGAAGGGGGAGAAACAAAAATCCAAAAGGGAAAGCTCGGACGGAGAGTTTGATGAAAAGCTACCGTAGAACTTGCACCGAAGAGCTCCGAGGATCATTTCGAACCTCTCCAGGGACCAGGAAGAATAGTTTAATCTTCGGAGGGAAACCGGCAAGTATTTAAACTTCGATCCCCCGAGCAATATAAGTTTCGATTGTTACGCGACGATAACCATTATTATTTCTCGAATTGAATCGGTAAGTCGAACGGTTCCAAATTACTCCTTCAGCGATCACGGACTAATTTCTTCAATATCATGGTAAATTTACCGCGGTAACCACCTCTCGGGATACGGATGATTAATTAGGAGTGGGATTCAATTTTTGGCGGTTTCGGTAGCTAGTGGAAGGGCTAAAATTAAGGAGAGAGAGCGTTTCTGCTAGTGGTCTCAGTAAGGCATCCTAGGGATGGACAGGAACTATTTGTAATGAATACAAAGGCTCGTACTAGCGAGAAAGTCAAGTCTAGGTCTTATGAGCCATCTAGTGGCGATGAGCGTAAGTGTAAAACCTTCTCAAATCGAAGAAAAGAGGATACGTGTAGGTTGACCACAATCGTCCTCGATTATGGTAGGGTTAATACAGTTGCTCTTGAAGAGGATTTTCAAACGATCGGTAGAAAATAAAGAAGGTATTGAGCAGCTGGGAGATTTCCATCGTTTCGACAAGCTTTTCGTTGGTTATTCGACCGAGACGATTCCCTGGTCCATGCGTCTAATCCGGCAGCAACGCGAATAGGTAACTGATAGAATCCCCTCATTTATCCAAATCCGACGGATAATCCAATCTGGAATTCAAATAAGCTCCGTTGCACCGGCTGTTACCCGATTACCGTAGCCGTTGAACGGTCCGATCGGGCCGATCCGGTCGACTACTCGCGACGTTCGGCGTTGGCTCATCGAATGCTGTTTGAAGGCAGCAGAAATCGACAGGAGTCTCGTTCTCGCGAACACGTCGATCCGACGACGGACGTCCGAGCGACGCCTGGCGACGTTCCACGCCTTTCCATTCCTCGTAATAAGCGCCGAAGAATTCGTCCAAATTAAATTCCTGCTGCCTCTTTTTCGTTCGTTGTCGTTGTCTGCGTGCGACCGACCTCGTCTCTGTCTAGCCACCCGGGGCTTCATTTATTCCCCCTCGTGTTTTTCCGGCTGTTTCCCCGTACTCAATACCTCGAGCACGGAATTTCCTGTTTCGTCGCGATGCTCGAGTTAATACGTCGCCGCGCGATCATCGAGCGTCGCGCGAACCAGTCGCGAGATACCGCGAGGATTCCACCCCGGTAATGGGAGCCGACGAAACGCGACTGGAATTTTTAATACGAGTTTCTTGATCCCGTTATGATTATAGACGAGCCGAAACTTGTTGAACGAATTGGGCTCCGGTGAATCCACAACACGTTCAACAGGTGAAAAATCTCTTACTGCGCTCATCATTTTTTCATACCCGAGATTTGATCAGTAATTAATTAGAGGATTATTGATATGTCGATATTCGTGAATGTATAAATAAGCGTTGTCTAGCTATCATATTTATTTCTGCACCGTGTTTTTAAATAAAACTCTGAGCTAAATCAACACGATCGATCATGAGAAAAGATTTATAAGAACTCGAAAGTGCGATGAAACGTTTGGAACTAACTTTTCGACCATCCAATACAAGTTGACAAGTAAAAATTTCGAAAGTCATCGAGTTGTACGACGTTTGGAAATTGGAAACGTTCTGATCTAATGAATCACCAACGTTTCCAGGATAGGATGAAAACACCATCAGTTTATCGAGCAAATAAATTTCTAGAATTAGATCTCCATGTCGTTCGGAAATTGTGGCCAACTGGTATCGAGACAGCCGAGGTCTGTTAGGCTCGGTTCGCACTGTTCCAGGAAATTTACGAGTCCGCCGGATTGCCTTGTCGAAGATTGCAGCCAATCCTATCGGTCGGAAAGCTTCGTCTCTTGTACCGTTCAAGCTTAATTTGTGAGATTTCTCGCTCGCTTTGCGATCCTCCCTTCGTCTTTTCAACTCCTATTGTCATTCTTCTAGCACGTGCCAACAAATGTTTTATAACCCATACGAATCGATCTACTCAATCTTTGATAATACAATGAATAAATATTTTATTATCTAGGCAACATAATTGTCAAAAATGATTCCGTTTTGTAATTTGGTCAGATTAAGATTTCGAAGTCTACTAAAATTGTAGAAAATGGACTGCAACTCAGTGGAACCAGCATTTATAATCAAGTCCCTTGCACTCAGCAAGTTCATAGGTTAAGATGGATGCCTTCCATTCCGTCGTTCGTACAAGCCATGTTTTCGCTCTAAACCTGAATTAGCCACGTCTGTAATATCAGGTTGCGATACACCTTCGCCGGGCACAAAACACGAACTGATACTTGGGATACAAATAACACGTGATTGCGTTTACATGTTGGCAAAATCACAGTTTGCAGACCTTACGGATAATCGTCAGATCGATATTCGCTGCCTTTATAAAAAGAGAGATCCTCACACAGGAATAAAGCTCGTAGTGTCGAAGAAGAATAATAAAGCTCACACTTTATATACAGCTCTTGATTCGTAAACGTTACTCGGTATGATCGCAAAAATAATTCAGGATGTATGATTATGAAAAGTAATCAGGACTGAATTACGAAAGTTATTCAGAATGAAATTACAAAAAAAAGTTACTCAGGATTAAATTATAAAAGTCATTGGTGATGAAATTAAAAAAGTTATTCAGGATTAACTTGTAAATGAAGTTGTACGAGGATGGTAGACATCGACGTGGAGAGCAACGATAGACACACCCAAAAGGGAGCGTACAAATTGTTCCTGTTTGCAAATTCGATTCGAGTCCATTTCGTCGTGGCACAGGCATCCTCGTTTCCTGACTTCTTGTTCACGGTCGAGGCTCGTTAATCAATGCCAAGATAATGCGGGAGGAAGACATAATGGCGGATGCGTGTGAATGGTGCATCGTGGAGCTGATACCTTTGCCGGAAGTCGGCGGAACAGATGTTGAGGAATGGTCGAACGTTAAGTATCGCGAGGCGGGATAATATAGTCGTTAAAACGTTACAATCGCCTCTGTTCGCGTTGACCGAAACGAGACAGCCCGGTTTCCATCTTTGAATACGTAATTTCGCGACCTACCCGTCGCGAGACAGCGAGACACAAAGGTCGGACGGGCAAGAATAATTAGATGACTGTTAATTCCGCGCTCGACCGGACTCCGTCTGTCAGCCACGCCGTTTCGCGATCGTACGATAACACCGAAGTACAAAAAGTGTCGCGGGCTAATGTGATTATCGAAAATCGATGGAGCACTCCGTTCCTGTCGAACGGAACGCGCGGTCTCGCGATCGATCCGACTGATCGATTCGAAGAAGCACGGTAGATTCTGAAACGTAACCGAAGCCACGAACACGTGGATAATTCTCTCTCTATACGTGCCATGTAATTTTCCTTCTCTACCCCTTTATTCGCTAGCTGTACGTCCAGGTATTCTGTATTATTGCGTGGTATAATGACGACGTCGACTTCTGTGCACGATGTGCCCCTTTTCGCGGAAGCTTTTTGTCCTTTCGTGTCTGGGCACATGGGATCGATCGTACCTAGATCGAGTTCGATGGCCGTCTCTTTCGCGTTACTCTCGATAACTTGTAAGCTTGTCGACATATCAGTTGTCAAGCACCCGGGTTTGCCAACGATTATAGTCGCTATCGTGCCTCACGTAAGTATAGTAAATGGATCTTCCTTACCGGTATTAAATACTCTATCGATATAACATCGGCTTAAAACTGATTATTGGAATAACATCATGGTGGAGTATCCTACATCGCTTTAGTGCGGTGGCGTTAGTATACTCCAGCGTTAGATATACCATATCTTACTCTGTCCAATTATCTTCCTAATCTATCATTGAATTAGCTGTTTCATTTCACCAATTCTTCGTGAAACGTATGAAACTAATTAGTTAATCCAGTGTAACCTCTAACAGTTTATGCTTTTAATTGAAGATTTAATTTTGTATTCACAAGTTGTTTAACAAATAAAATACGACTGCATAAACTGAATAGAATTTGTGGAAAATAGTGATACAGCTAATATATAGTGGACTCGTTATTTATTGAAAACCCAGAACCCCAATCGATTCACGTGTCCTCGTTTCAAAGCAATCTACTTTAACGTCTGTCTTAGCTCGAGTTAAAGAAGAAGGCCCTTCTAAAGGTTCTTGGCCAACACGAAGAGCAGATCGGTCGGTGAACGAACAGCGAGTAAAAATGAGGCAGAAACGGACCAATCATTGGACAGACGTGCTGGTCGACTATGGTTTCGCGTGCCATACTGCCATTCTAGTCGATGAGTTTCTGGCGAACGTTTCGAAGTTCCCTGAGGAAGCTTCATATTTTTCTTTTTTTACTCTTTTTTGTTTGTATGGTCTCTTTGTTGAACCTGGCTGCATCGCGTGGCTGTTGTGCAGGAAGATAGTTTTTAGCGGTCGGTGTTTTTGGAAACTGTTAGCCGGGATGTGTTAAATAATGCATGGACCGTGGATGAATTTATGGAGGATTTCAATTTCGGCAGTTGGAACACACGGGACACTTCCTCTTTTGTCCACACCTTCTTCAAATTAATATTCTATTCCGTTTCTCGATTAACGTTCGTGTATGATGTTACTTTTGTCCGTGCGGTATATCACGTGACCAGCTTCATTATACAATGTTTCTGACACTATGAAATTTAATAGAGTTCAGGGGTATGAAACTATAGGTCTCGTAAATGCACCTCTGCCGCGAAAAGCAGCCTTGTTATAAACGAAATGTAACTTCCTGCCGCAATATATAATGGCACTTGTTATCGGGTTTATTTAACTATGTATCAGTATTTTATTCGGCCGAATAAAAGACATATTTCATCGGGACGAATATCGAATAACAGATTAAGGGCTCTACTTTATTCCCGTATTTTTTCTGCGCCCTTTCCGCTGCACTAAATTCGAATTATCATTGTCAGCGAGAATCTCGACCTTCCAGTGTCGTTCTTCAAACGTTCAAGAGCGATTAGTTTATCAAAATGCAATTGATTGCTCACAGAATCGATAGTTCATTTGCAAATCAACAATCCGACATGTTTTATTCATCTTCAGAAGCTATCGTGTACTTTAGAACGATTTCTTCTAATATTCGTGTTTCCATCAGCGACTTTCTCGAACGTCTCTCACAATAATTCTCCCGCTTGTCAGACTTGCCATCATTTACGGTTTTAAATACTTACGCAACGTTAAACGTTGTGTCGTACATCATTGCCAGATAGAAAGTGCGCGAGAGGGAGTCGTCTAACGCCATAGCAGGACGAGTTTCCGTCTAATTTATTACTCCGTTGACGTCTAACCTTTCACGTTGCAAGTTCGCGAAAGCACCTACGCGTTGGAAATCTTCTTATGTTCTGGTATCACGAGCTTCGCAGCTCCCGCAAGACCTAAGGAACTCTACAACTTCACGCTATGAAGGGTTGATTTGAGACGGGGTGTTGCGGGGTTCAGAAACTTACGCTTCATGGAAGTAATTTCTATTTTCTTCCTTTCGTTTTTTTTCCCTTCTACTGGTCCGAAGGGTTCCCGTTATTTTGCTCCGTAATTTTTATAGCGGACAAGTTTTACACCTTGCTAGACGTGCGCTATGGACTTCGTTGTCTAGAGTTTTTAAGTAAGTTATTTTATATGACGTAGACAGATTATTTTTAGATCTCTATGTTCTCAATTATATTGTGGGATACTTGCTTTACTTAATTATTATATTCTTAAATTGTTATATTTCCAGATATGTTTAATGGTTGGATTTCTATATTTTTACATTTCCAAATTTATATATTTCTAAGCCTCTACATCTTCAGATCTCTACATCGCTAGATCCGTAACATCCCCAGATCCTTAAAAAAAATTTCCCAAATTTCTTCATCTCAGATTCCTACGCCTCAAATCCTTGTAACCCAAATATAAATTTCTTCATTCCCCATATCATTCGTTATATCACAGCACTCATTCAACCTTTTACCCAAGCCTGCAATTTCATCTGGGCACACATTTATATCCTTCCTCCAGTTGCGAACAAAAAGCACGTGCAAGGTAATTAGATGTTACAAGAACTGCAGAAGGTTAAAATTTCTTTCGATGCAATTTACGAGTTCACTTTGAAGCCGTTCTAAGAAACGCGAAACACTATATGTAAGACAGATTTCCATAGCACGAAACAGAGCCATAACACGTCAAAATGATACATGAAGTCTTTACAATTCCACGTTTCTCGCTCGGTTCGGGCCCGATTCTCTTACTCCGACGGAGTCGTACAAGAGAAGGGTTAATATTCCATGAGGTGAGTTTATTGGGGAAAGGTCGCTCGTATAATTTGACTTTGCCAGCTCTGAATAATCGATATACCACCAGCCTGCACTCAATACCCGGAAACAGACGCGAGGCTGATCGAGAGTTTAAATTGGGTGGAAATTATTCGCCTCTTCCACTGCGGCTACGTGTTCACGAAGGTTGGGCTGTGCACACGCGTCCTGGCAAACCGCGACAATGTGTATGCGCCTTCAGAAGCGAACAAATACCTCTGACACCAGAAACTGGATTACTCGCATAAGAGACAACCCTTTTTTGCGACCGCACGCTATACCCACGCACGAGTTATTGCATTTTTTACACTTTTCGCATTGTATCGTGTTCTTGCGTGCTAATGAACGCTGTAATCATTCAAGATCTTTTACAAATCCTTTATAAACACTCCTTAAATCAGGATCACGGTAGTTAATCTTTGTCACCCTGTAATCCAAACATCGATACTATAATAATTAATAATCGCGTAGAACAGGATTGGTACCGCGTAGAATAGGGTCATTGTGTAGAACCGCTTGCCAAATTCAATGACCTTAATGAAGGTAACGAAGGTCAGTCCAATAAGGACACAAACAAGCGCCATTCAAATTGCAGTTGCAATATTCTACCTCAAAGACTATTCCATATAAATTTCCCAGAACATGATTTCTAACGTATAAAATATTTTTAAGCTAAATACTTGTCTGTACTTCGAATGAGAATAATATATCAGAAATCTTGATATAAATTTTAGTGAAACATTAAGAATAAATTTCTTGAAGAGAAGGTACACTTCTTTGCCATTACCTAAGCACATCCCAGAATAATCAGTTCTTTGATTTACTCGAACATCAAAGGAATTACGAGTCTCCTTTATTAGATTCGAGCATACTAACTCGATTTACCGAGGTACATGTTACACGCAAGGATCCAGCCTCGGATATCCCATCCGTAAATATAATAACAAAAAACTGTTCACGGTATCCTTTGCTTTCCCGTCGCGACGAGATCCCTTTAATTAATTTTGTTCACAATTTTGTCGACGAACGTCCCCGGTTGCAAAACACCCAACACCGAAACGGCACGTTCAAACAAAATAAAAAAAAAACTCGAGAGGAAAGAAAAAATGCACATATATCGTAACGAGCGCGTCACGCGAACAAAAATATACGCAGCTGACGTTTTTCCGAATTCGCGTGAAATTAAAGGGCACCCCGTGGAAACGCGGAACGATGTAAAGGGAATGCGTGATACTTGTTACCGAAAGTGGCCAGGCGTGCGTAACACGCGTCGCGGAAATAACATTTTAACGCGAGCTCGCGGCGATAAATTGACACGGTCGATAGAAATAAACGTGCTCTCGAGCGCCGCGTTATTACGCATCAGACTGACTGATATCTACAACGGTGGACTTCTGGAGGCTAAATTATGATGTCGGGATGAACCCTTGGCAACTTTGAAAATTTCCAAAATTAGATGTCGGGGACTTTTGATTTCAGGAGTGGGACCTTGTCAATTTAAGGATTTAGGAATTTGGGAGATAGGAATTTTGGTAATTAGGGATTTGAGAATTTAGCTATTTGGGAATTCGGTGGTTAGGAATTTGGAGATTTGGAAATTTGATGAGATGGAATTTTGGGGCGTAGGAAATTCGGAACTTGGGAATTTGGGTACTCAGAGAATTCTAAATTTAGGTATTTGAGGACCTAGGAATTTGCGAATGTAGGAGTTTGGAAATGTAGAAATTTGAGGACGTAGAAATCCAGATTTAGAAATTTCTAAATTTAGGTATTTGGGGATTTAGAAATTCTGAAGTGTAGAAACTTGAGAATACAAAAATTTCAGAATATAAAAATTCTAAGACCCTAAGATTGAGTAATTCACTAACTTGAGGGGCAATGACCAAAGCAGCCGACGCCCACAACAACAACTAACTTGAAGATCCACCAATTTCAGAACATAGAAATTCACAAAACCAGAGATTACGAACACAGAAATTCCTCCTATATTAGAACTGTACAAATTTACACCTCAGAGAATCTGAACACACCAAATCAGAAACTCTACATAGCCAAAAACTTGCAGACAATTAAGACTCCGTGTAACATTTCCCAAAGAGAAAGCAAATGGCAGAATTCCCTGACGCGGTTCATAACCAAATGAAGCGTTGCACCGGACTCCTCGGACTGTATTTTGCAGATTCAGAGGAAGATGGCGAGGGAACACAGAGACGCAATAGGAAACGCGATGTCTGACGGTGTTACGTGCACATTGTCTACTTACACTGTAAATTGTTGTACGACAGGGATTGCCGTCGTATTCTGCCTTGGCTCACTGTCTTTCTTCGACTGCTCAGCCGACACCACATGTTCACTTGCACGTACGACCATAGCTTCAGGAACAGGATGGCGTACAGCATGCACACGTACATGGCACCGACTGCAACAACGAACAGAATTAATTATACGTATAACATTGCACACCATCGTGGCAGCTTGTCGTCGGGCAAAACGTTTCTAACATCTCTCTCTGTCTTTTGTGTGTACATATACTGTCTCTCTTTTCGTCAACTTATAGGGCCAAAGTTCGGTGTACTTTGATGGAAGTGTGTTTAAAATTTACATGGGAGCGTTTAGTTACCGAGGGAAGACTAATTAACGTGCTTGAGGTGGGTTAAATGAGAGTTATTGGTAAAGGGAACTAATAATTGTTATTGGGTTTGTTTGGTGGTTGAGGATTTTGTTATGAGTTATTGCTATGTGGTGTTAGTTTCTATATGTCTCTATTACCACGCGTTACTGTTACCATGCGTTACTATCACCACGCGTTACTATTAGCGCACGTTACTATCACCACGCGTTACTATTACAACACGTTACTATTACCACGCGTTACTATTACCACACGTTACTGTCACCACGCGTTACTATTACCACGCGTTACTATTAGCATACGTTACTATCACCACACATTACTATCACCACGCGTTACTATTACCACACGTTACTGTCACCACGCGTTACTATTACCACACGTTACTGTCACCACGCGTTACTATTACCACGCGTTACTATTACCACACATTACTATCACCACGCGTTACTATTACCACACGTTACTATTACTACACGTTACTATTACCACACGTTACTATTACTACACGTCACTATTACTACGAGTTGCGGTACCACGCGTTGCAACACCATGCGTTACTATTACCACGCGTTGCAACACCATGCGTTACTAGTACCACGCGTTGCACTACCATATGTTACTATTAGCACGCGTTACAACACCATGTGTTACTAATACCACTCGTTACTATTACCACGCGTTACAACGCCATGTGTTACTAATACCACTCGTTACTATTACCACGCGTAGCATTACCACGCATTGTACTACCGTGCGTTACTATTACCATGTAGTGCATATTACTAGACGTTACTATCCCCACATGTTGTGTCACCACACCATCGCTACATTTTGCATACCTACGCCTTACAGTATCTACTTGTGCTACTACGTGTTACCCTTGTCACATTTCGTATTACCACGTGTTACCTGACGGTAACCATGATGGAACCATGTATTATACCATCATGTCTTATTATCTTTATGCTCTATGTTATCACGTATCACCATATATAGTACCGTATCATTCTCTGTACCTCCACATGTCCTATCCAATTATCACATATATTCAATATCATATGAAAAAGCACTTTCCTTCCAATAATATGCGCGAGCCCTATCAGATTTCTCTAATCAAAATATGTTGAACGCCGAAATACAACACGTTCCATTTAATACAATATCCATTATACACGAACATTATACTCATAACACATAGAACTCTGTTTTACACGAAAATCGTCAAGCAAATTTGTGAAACCGTAAATTCGTTATCCGTGTTCTTCCCAGCGGATTAATGAGAAAGAAAAGAGAAAGGACAGCGCGAAAACGTCGGAGAACAGAGGCAAGAAAAGAGGAGGTAAAAATGGCGGTGGACAGGATGGTGCAGTACGTGCAAGTACGTTTTAATCATCGCAATTTTACACGGCCCCCAGAGAACGTGACAGCAGATACATCTGTGCGAATAAAGCATACGCTGTTATACGCCGGACGTACGTGTCCGAATGTGGCAATTAAAGGGTTTATAAAACACGGTATTACGCATTCATGGCCGACCGTTTCATCCGTGCTGAATTTATCTTTTTCGCGGCTGTATTCGCGGTTCCGCTCTGTCCCGGAACACGTTCGTAATGATTGAAGGTTCACAAAAGCTCCTCGTAATTTCCTCGCGCTAACAGGCTAACCATCGAAACGTACAATTTCTTTCCCCTCGTCCAAGTTCATCGACTCCGCTGCCCCGTTGTGTTTAATTACAGGCAACGGTATTTGCATCGCAATCTTAAGAATGTCAGTTATTATTATGCGATGCCAGTAACGGCTGCCGCCAGATAATGGCGTTGGACCATGGACGGTGACGGAGCCAGCCACCCTGATCCTCATATTTCCTCGATATTTCTATCGATCCTCGATACCTCCTTCGACGAACAGATTGATCGCATTTTAATTAAGTCCTGTTTGCTACCACCAGTTATTTCACCCCTCAGATTCCAGGTTCTTTAAATCGCCTGCCTCAATTGACAATGTTTTGGCTACTTACTTTTGAACAAATATTTCAAAATTTTTGGACGTAAATTTAATATGGTGGTCAGACATAAACATATATAGCCATTGTGTACTGTATAACTGAGCATGTATATTATTTAGAATAAACTTTTAAAACGAAATTTGTATGAAACATTAAATTATCTATTCAGATAACAGTATGAAAGAAATAAACAGAATGTACGTTGAATGCATAAATTTATTGTAAGAAAGTAGTGTTCCATAAATGAAATTTCTGAAGAAAATAAAAATAGGAAGAGAAAGTTCTCATCCAATTATGTATTTATTCGGGGCAATTGTTCCCTGTCTGGCAAAGTCGAAGTTCCCGTGGGAGCGATGTCCATTACCAGCAGTAACCGGTTTAATAAATATTTATTCGAATTAGGCTTTTTATTTGCATGCAAATAACGTTGGCAAACGAGACGAGTGGGTGAACAAGTCTACCAGCGAAACAACGGCGAATGAATGTTTCATTGTTGAATTTATAATTTTTTGAATAATCTTTGAACTATACTGCGTTCGCCTGCTACAAATTCAGCGTTGGTAATCATGCGAGTTACGTTCGCGCAATTTATTCCGAGAAAATATCGAAGTAAGCGGAATAATTAAAACGTTCACCTCCGAAGAAGAAACGCAACGCTTCTCTCGTTCGGGTAACACGAGTAATTTGCAACTTCTGCGTTCGAAAAATAAATGACCTCGAAGGAAATGCATGAGAAGGAAACGAGACGAGACAATTACGGTGCTACCTTGAAAGTGTTCAGCCTATCGTGGCCAGGTTTTTAAACGGAACGAGATATTTCGAATCATCCGAGGGAAAAGTAAAACTCGAAAGAATACCATCGCGTGCTATCCCGCATCGCTATTTCCACGAACGAGAACTCTGGCTCGTTTTCAGCAAAGGATTCTAATCAACTTTCTTCGTCCAGAAATCTCTTTCGACATAAATTCGTACTCGCGAAATGAGGTTAATTAAAGTACAAATTCGAGCAATCAATACTAATCAGAACGGAAGTAATCAAGAATCCCAATCTATAACTTCGATCAGTTTTATTTTTGTACATCGGTTGGCAATCAACGTGACAGGTTCGGTCTTCAAGTTTTACCAACTCCACCGTGTTCGATTTAATCGTTACGGTTTTCTGTCCGACGTGGAACTTTCGCGTTTCTACCGCTTTAAATTATTCGAACGAATATAATTAATGTATCGAATTCGGTAGCGCTGCAAACGACCAGGGCGCAGATGATACTACGATAATGGGAAAGCGAGAAAGCGTGTAACAAGTATAACCAGCCGATACCATCGTTCGTTAATGGTCACGATGTACCACGACCACGCGAAACGCCACGATATACAGGGCGTCTCATGCAACTGAGCCGATCTGTGGCATATGGGGCTGTAATTATGAGACGTAGGCGAGGTTTGGGGATACTCGAATGTTGGTATATTGGAAGGTACAAATTGCTGAACGCAAGGGTGCTGAAATGTAAGAGTATTGGGACATAGCAATATTGAAACCACGGAGTGAGGATGTTAGATAGTAAGGATATTGGAATATAAAAATATTGAGACGTAAGAATATTTAAACGTAGAGACATTGGAACGTACAGATATTAAGACATAGAAGTATTAAAACGTAGAGATATTGAGACTTAAAAGTATTAAGGTCTAGGAGTATAAAAAGCTACAGATATTTGGATGTGTAGGTGTTAGGGCCTGCACCATGCAGGAATTGAAATATAAAAATGTTAGAACATGGAAAAATTGAAATATGAAAATATTGAAACATAAGAGTCTTCAAAAATAAAATTATCAAGACATACAGACATCGAAACATATTAAAATCTAAGAATATTTAAACGTAGAAAAATAGTGCTGCAGGAATATTAGAACACATGAATGTTGAAGCATAAGAATATTGAGACGTGTATTGACACATACAGATATTGAAACCTGGGAATATTGGAACGTATGAATATTGAGGTCTGAAATGCTGATACATAAAATATGTAAATATAAAGGCCTATTAAGGAGAAAAGTGGTCTAAAATCTTGGAAATGTTTCAAGTCGCACAAAATGAACACATGCACCGACTGGCGCTCGACGCGACACCATTTAATTTTGCCTAATGAAATTTGTTGTATCTTCTGGCACTTTAGAGGTAAGCTTGACCCAGATGCAGAGAGCAGCTTGTATTTCTACATAATATGCCGGAGTGCGTGGATTTTCCATCGCCCTCAGGGCCGTACGGAAGTAAGCTTCCGACATAACCGTGAGGAGGTTCTTTGCTAGGTAAAAGTGGATACTAAATATTCTCTGACTGCTCCCTTTTGTCCCCGTCGCACTTTTCCTCGTCCTTTGCGCAAGAAATATTTTCCTTGACACGCCCACCTGGAAAGCCAGAGGCGAGGTGCTAATTAGAGGGATTCTCGGATTCCCGTGGAAACCACGCGTTTAAATACTCCCTCGTGCAAGAGTAGCTCCCTTTTCCTTTGACGAGAAAACGACTCTTGCGAGGCTTGTTAATGACATCGAACGAGTTCCACTTCTTAAGAGATCGTCGAGGTAAGAAGATCTTCGATTTCCTTCTTTCCTTCCAACGTAATCGCTCCGCGATCTCTGGTGACGAGAACATGACACCTAAGGCTGCTCCGATGTTTATCCGCAACGGGATTTTAATAAGTTCATTCGTTTGGCCCCATCAAAAAGCCATCAGCAACGATAGACATTAATTTCCTGCCTACTCGGCGTTTCGATAAGC